CATTGAGCATGGTTGAGTTGCTTTTACAAGTGCTCAAACTATGGTTTTGAGTAGTTGAAAAACAAAATCACACATCTGCTCTTCGGTATAATCGTTTTCCAATAGAAGTTCCATTAGATGTCTACAGTGAAGTGAACTTCCAAGAGCATATTTTGCAGACCCATTTTCTGCTTTGATGCAGAGGTGCTCTCGGGGCAGTTCAGGTAGTGCCTGCGTCCTTGTCTGTGCGTCCTGGGAGGTTTGCTGAAGTGGTCTTTCGAAACACTGTTTGTGAAAACTGATTGCACTTTCTGTCCTGTCCTTTTTGATTTGTCCCTTCTATCCCCCAGATGAAATATGTCTCATTCTTTCTGTTCTCAGAGTCGTGTCTGACAGGTATTGTGGTAATCACAACTGATTCCCGTAGTATCAAATTAATGGAAAACATAATATCATGATCTTCTAATGGGATAAGCTATAATGAATACTCTAGTGTCTGAACAATTCAGAATGGATTAGTAAAAAGCCACTGGTTAAATAACTGAACCTTCCATTGGAGGACCTAAAAGGAGGGAATTAAAGATGAATCTGGGAAAAGACCAAACACATTTTGCATATCTTAATAGGGATTTTTTCAAAGATTCCCTTGTTGATTTATATTCGAGCTTTTCCGTGCTCTTCTCCCTTTCTCTCTTGGGAGAATCTTCAGAAAGTCTTGTGGAGAACTGGTAAGTGACATAATGAACAGGGGTCATTAAAAGTTGACTTGGAATCTGGAGATTTGGTATAATTTTGACTAGGTGTCCATGGGGGTGCAAAAACTGCTCTGGTCTTTGCCCTGAAAATAAACAGGGAATATAAAGGCAAGAGAGAAGGAAACTTGACATATGTTGGAGCTTCTTCCATGAAGCTGCTCTGTTTTGATATAACTGCAGAATCCTCTTCAGTTTGGGGGAGTTCTTGATAACCCAAATGCCCTTTGTGGTAGAGATAAATGACTGTGACTTTGCCCAAGTAAGCCATTCTCACATTATCCCATTACCAGACAAATATACTAGTTCTTCTAAGCATACCTTGGTACTAACATATTGATGTTGTTTATATTAAAATAAAGTGTCAGTATTATTCAGAGTAGTTTTTCAGACTTTTTTCCCCTTTCTATATTATTTTTTTTGCTTCTTTCCCCTCTCCTCCTTGAAATTAATTGCTACATGACTGGCTGAATTTAGCAATAGTAGAGAGTTAACAACAGCACGGGGCTGATGTGTTTCCTGGTGTCTGTGCCAAGAAACTTGTCTGCTTGATCACTTTGTGGCTTGGTTAGAGGCCACAGGATCACGGGTTATGAGTTTCCTTCTCTTGTGATCCTGGAGCTCCACGTGGTATATGAAACAGCAGTGAGAACAGCCTGGAGGCTGGCCCCGAACGCTGCTGTGCGAGCAGATTGGGCCTGGGAGGGAAGCAATGTTTCTTAAATCATGAAAGCTTTAATTGTGAACTTGTTTTGGCAGCTGACCCCTTTACGTTGCTTTGTGATGAGGGGGCTGGAACTTGCAGGGGCAGAGTCCTTGGGTAGTGTCTGGGGCTTGTCTCTGGGCTGAGGGAGGGCTTAGTGGTTCCTGTGGATGCTGGAGGAGCAGCTTGTTGCAGGAGAGTTCTCCTAGAGTTTTCCTAGCCCTGAAAGGCCTCAGAAGGGTACCCAGTGATGCAATACAGTTGTTTACAGCCTGAACCTTTGGTTATGGTGGAACTTGAAAGGGACTCAGCCCTTGCTGAACTGCATTGAGTGAGTGCCTGGAAATAACTGGCATTGTGGAAGCAATTACTTCTTTATGGGATCCTCTCAAACCCTTTATGTGTACATTATACTTAGCTGTCTCATTAAAATGAAGCTTTAGCACTTGAATCCTGTTAATTCATTTCACTTTTCTCAGGTTGGCTTATTCATTCTGATCATAGCAGTCCTGTTTCAGGTTGTCCTCTCCCTATTCCTTTCCCTGCAAATCCCCAAAATTCTATTTATAAGGTTTTTTTACTGGCTAGTGTCCTGTAAGGCCTTTCCCAACCCCCCGTTTTATTTTCTTTTTACTTTGAAATCCTTATTTAATAATGTTTATTAATATTATCATTGTCATCCCCAAAATTAATGACTGTAGGCTTCTCAGTTCATATTCGGGTGTTAGACTTCAAACATTTTGTATTAATTTTCCATTATTGAGTAGCTTTAGGTTTTGTAATACGGAGAGCTGGCTACGTCTGGGAAAGCTAACACTAACATGTTATTTCCCCTCATACACCTCAAGCATGAAGAAATCGAGACAAAAGAAGCAGTAATTCTGGCTCAAACTTCATCCTGCCTAGAGTCCTCTCAAACTTTCTAGAGAAAGCAGGTTACAAATTACATTTGAAATGCATTTTCATCATAAGATAGACCATTTAATGGGACCACATTACTTACTACACCTTTGCTGTGTTACAAACAAGTAGAGATTATTGAGGAAGCAGGATGAATGGTAGCCATCCACAGGCTGTGTTACTGTGATGCCAGAATCTATTTCCTACTAAAATAATACCACTGAAAACTTCTCCATTACCCTGTCTCTTACCCATAGCTGTATTTTAGGACTTCAGTCTCTTAAGCGTACAACCTAGTAAAAGCCACTAAAAAAGGTGACATGGGAATGACTACGAGTGATCTCTTAAGGCATGCCTCTAACGTTTTTCTATGATAGATCTAAATTCAGTCAAAGAATTAATGCTCTAATCATTACAATTAATTATTTTGTTAGCTTAGAAAATAAGTTAGTGTATTGATATTTGATAGGAAAAAATTACTCGTGATGAGGATGGTGGGGCACTGGCAGTGGTTTCCCAGAGAAGCTGTGGCTGCCCCCACCCCGGAAGTGTTCAAGGCCAGGCTGGATGGGGCTTTGATCAACCTTGTCTGGTGGAAGATGTCCCTGCCCATGGCAGGGGGTTTGGAACTAGATGATCTTCAAGGTCCTTTCCAACCCAAACCAGTCTGTGACTCTATGATATTTAAATGCACACTTTTATTTGCTTAATCTTTGTTCATTAATGTAGATTTTAAAATGGATTTCTTTTTACTTTAGCATTTCTACTGGAAAACTGAATGTGGATAGAGGATAGCTGCACAGTCACAGCATAGAGCTGGGTGATCTAGTGCACCGCAAGGAAGAAAATGTCACACTAAAATGCTGAACTTGGGTCTCTTGTTACTAGGAAGTTTCTCTTTTTCATTTTTGCTTGGTGCAAGCAGATATGCAGCAATCACTGAGATACTGTGCAATATGGTAGAGCAGCACTCTATCGCTTTAAAACCCTCTGCTTTCCTTCGCACCAGTCAAGCACACCAGTTTGTGGGGTGACTTAGCAGATGGTTTTTGAACAGGCATGTCTGTTAGCATTTGGGGAGTGAGGTTTTGTGTGGTGCATATTGCAGTCCTCTTCTGGCTCTTTTTTTCATGTGCATGTTACATGTTTTCATGTGCAGCTACAGGCTGGGCGGAGAAGAGATTCAAAGCAGCCCTGTGAATGAGATGAAAAGAAGAGAAACTTGCTGAATGCTAAGGAAAAATCCCTAACCATAGATTCTCCCAGTGAATGACCTAAGGGAAGGGATGGAAAGAATCCTTACTGATCCTGCCCCTCTACTCTGCTCTTGTGAGACCTCACTTGGGGTATTGTGTCCAGTTCTGGTGTCCTCAACATAAAAAGGACATGGAGCTGTTGGAGCAAGTCCAGAGGAGGGCCACGAGGATGATAAGAGGACTGGAGCACCTCCCGTATGAAGACAGGCTGAGAAAGTTGGGGCTGTTCAGCCTGGAAAAGAGAAGGCTGCATGGAGACCTTATAGCAGCCTTCCAATATCTGAAGGGGGCCTACAAGGATGTTGGGGAGGGACTCTTCGTTAGGTACTGTAGTGGCAGGACAAGGGGTAACGGGTTCAAACTTAAACAGGGGAACTTTAGGTTAGATATAAGGAAGAAGTTCTTCACAGTGAGGGTGGTGAGGCACTGGAATAGGTTGCCCAAGGAAGCTGTGAATGCTCCAACCCTGGTGGTGTTCAAGGCCAGGTTGGGTGGAGTCTTGGGCGACATAGTTTAGTGTGTGGTGTCCCTGCTCATGGCGGGGGGGTTGGAACTAGATGATCTTAAGGTCCTCTCCAATCCTAACTATTCTATGATTCTATGATTCTATGATAATAATACAGGAGATGTTATGCCAAAGGTTACTCTTATGACTAACTATAATGGAATCCCATCTCTAGCAAGCAGGTTGATATGTGCTGGCTTTAGACACTAAGCTTTTTTTATGATAGTTTTGAAAACAGACACAATTGATGTGAAATAGATTTGGGCACACGAAAACACTGCTGCAGAACTAGACTTCTTTTCTTCCTGGAATCATTACGTTCTGGGAAGCAACAAACCTGGGTAGCACTCCCTTGGTAGCAGAGCCTCTCTCCTACATTGCCATGATGCAGCACTGCTCAAAAAAGATGTTCAGTACCTCATTTCTATGAGGGCTTTAAAATACTCTTTTGTAGTTTAAATATTTAGTCCCTGTTACTGAGGCTATATGGGTAAATGGGAACTCCTGCTGCAAGGGTGGTGGTAAGAAGCTGGGGCTTATCTTGTAACATTCTCTTTCACAGTTCCTTAGAGCCACGTAATTGACTTCACTGGGCTTTGGATCAGAGTACTTCAAATTAAGAACAAACCACGTAATTGACTTGCAGAGTCAAACTTCTAAAGCAGGTTTCCCCAAGCTGCTGCTCTGTTTCTCGATGAAGGGATTTGGAGACAAGCCCAAGTACTTCAAATATATCCCATAGCAATACATAAACATTGGTCACAACAATTAAAAGAATGAAATAGAAATGAATTCACTTGATAGTTGACTGTGGCAAGCAACCTGTCAAGTGGAAATATGACTCTGGATGATTGTGATTGTTCTAACATACTTAAGTCTCTCTTTTTTTTTTGTTTAGGGAGAAAGACCTTAATGCAAAGTTTATTATTTCAATGGAAAAAAACAAGACGACAATCACAAACTTAAAGGTGAGTAAACACAATTTATAGAAGGAAGTCCTAGCTGAACAGCTGCCAAAATATGAGTGGACAAAACAGTGGTCCTCACTGCACTGTGGAGAACAGCCCTCAGCTCTTAAAATACAGCGTTGAAGTAATCCTTTGGGGAAGCAGGTTAAAGTGTTAACTTGCTGCACTGCAGTTTCCTGAAAACCACTCTGTAGGCTATATCTTGGAGGTTTTTTTAAGGTTTATCACTCTGGTCATTACTTAGCTGAAAGATGAAAGCCAACAATAGAAGACAGGTACATGCCTGGTAGCTATTAAACCTTTGCTTTATCTGTAGAATTCTTGAATTCCCATGATAATGAACTAAACCCAAAGTACCCATCACTTGCTGTCATATTTTGATGGTATATTTTAACATTTCTGACAGCAAGAGAAATCATGCACAGCAAATAGATTTTTGCAAGATAGTTTGCAATGACAAATATATAGACTGATTCAGATCGCAGTGCATACTGCTGAAATATAGTACTAGCTGTCATGTCTCGAGCATGATGATAGCTTTAAGCAGGAGGTTGGTAACACCATTTTAATTATGACTCCACAATGAAATGCTGTTTACAGTGCAAAGGTCTTTCTGCCTCCTGTTAATTATATGCGTAGAATAATCCTTTATTATAATCTGAATTGCATATACAAGACTGATTTAACTGAAGTATGGTGACAAAAATGTACTGTGGTGTTAGGAGCAGTAAGCTTAAATCCAAGTAATTCCTGCTCTGCTGTCCTGTGGCATGGCTGTCCTTCATGCTGAAGTGTATTATCTGTTGTTAATTTTTTCACCATTGGAATAATAGGCTAACCTGTCATTATACAGGTTTCTAAGTGTGTATAGCCTTCTGTTAAATTTGCTTTCTGATTATTTGTTGTAAAATGCTTTAATTACTTCATTAGGATGCATTGTACCAGCTCTTTTTTCTTTCCTTCTTTCTCTTTTGAAATAGGTACCAGAGGGTGGTACTGGAGATACAGGACGAGAAAGAACTAAGACATTTACCTATGATTTTTCCTATTTCTCAGCAGACAGTAAAAGTCCCAGCTTTGTTTGTCAAGAAATGGTAGGATTTCTGAATGATGATAATTGATTTTTTTCTCCTCCTTTCCTTTCTCTTTGGCTTGAAAGCATTCTTTGAAACGTCCTTCCCTTGAAAGTGCTTCTTGTATAATTTAGAAATTCCCTAGGTACCTAAGAATTTGAATTCTGCTTTGTTTTCTTTTCTTTTTCACTTATCGAACATTAAGTGGTGTGTTTTCTAATCCAGCAGGTTAAATGCCTTCTTTCTAGTTCTCTTGTCTGATTTGTCTTGTAAGGTCAAGTTAGAAAAATTCTAAAGGTGCTCAATTTGCTTTTGAAAAGCTTTGGAAAAAAAAAAAATCACTTTTGAGAAACAAGGATATATCTTTAATTCACTTAGAAACATTATCTAGTAGGAGTGGGGTTTTTTGTTGTCCAAAAGTCTTGGTGCACATTGAAGAAGGTTGTTCTGTCTTCTCCTTTGAATATTCAGTTTAGGAAGGGGCAAACCTGCTTTTCTTCCTGCACACTCAGAACAGAAGAGATAGACCCTCCCTCACCTTGCATTTCATGTGAACATTGAACCTTTTTGCTACTTCACATTTCCAAATAAATTTATTGCGTAAAATTCAAGTGTTTTGTGATGGTTCTTGTTTTTTGTTTTTATGGAACTTGGGATGCTGCAAGCTTCAAGTGAGAGTATTTTTTCCCCTTAAAATAATGCAAGGGTTTAAATACGCTGTAAGGCAGTTGGATACATACCTTATGTTTTCTGTAACCCCCCAAACCAGGGAGACTGGTATCGCTAATCCTAAAAAGCCTCAGAATTAAAACTAATAATAAGCAATAAATTGAAGCCATTTTTAAATATTTATGGGAAGGACAAGGTTTGCCATCATTATATAATGACTATAATTGTTTAATAGGGAATTTATACTTGGAATTTCTATTTAACCATCAGTGTAAGCGTTAGGTTCTCTCTTTTTTCTGAAAGTGTCTTGTTTATTTCACTAAGTTATTAGCTAGAAATGGATCCAGACATTTGATGATGTATATTCTTAAACTTTCTGGCTTGTTATTTCTTGATGATGTTCGTTTAAGTAACACTGGGTTTGCTATATTGTCCAAAATATCAAGAAATACACATTTATTTGGGTGTCGATGTAGAAATACCCCAAGTGTTTTAGCACTGTGACAAATTCAAGAAGTAGAGTATTTGAAAGCAACGATTGGAACCCTAGTTTCTAGTGAATGTTTTTAAGAGGTAGTTCAGGCCATATGGCTTTACTAGAACTTTAGCAAATGTTTTAAGTTGACCATGCAGAGAGTTACTTACTTACTTTAATTAAAACAGTTTTGATCATGTATTTTCCAGCTCTGTTTCTAACTGAAGCTTGAGATTTTGGTTGTGGTTCTGCAGATGCAACTGAAGATTGCCTTAAGTTTGCTCATACAAGTTGATTAGGATCTCAGTTTAATATTACTTAGTTTCATGAAAATGCATATTATTCTGTGATAACGGATTACTGTATTCTCAGTTCTTCCTGATAGAGATGAGTACATCTCCATAAAACAGTACTAATGATGTATCAATGCATGTTTGGAGAAGTCTGCAAAATGTGCTATAAAAGTAGTTACAGAAATTCTTCTTAGGTGCCAGTTGTGGCTTAGGTTTATGAATATGTAATTCTTGGATCCTTTAGGTAGCAGTCTCTTTTTACCTGACTTCAGATACTCCTAGGAAAGCTATGTTAGATGAGACCTCACTGAATGAATGGAAGAAACTTGAATTAATATAAATGGATATCCAAGGTGTATTGATGTCTGATTTCCTCATAAAAGTAATGAATTTTTCCATATTGGTGCCATTTTACCTGTTTCAGGGTGGGTCAGGTTGGGGCAAGATCACATGCCCATGTCAGGAGTTTATAGAAAGAAGATTACACTAAAATGCCCATATAGAGATTGCTGCAGCAGCCTGGAGTAATGTGGTTTTTTCAAAGCTATGAACTTTATGGTTTGTAGTAATAAGATGGCAACAATAAATCCTAAACATGGTTTAGATGGTCAATATTCTGCTACTACAGTGTGTGCCAAAACCCCAGACTGCCTCCTTCATCCTTACTAGTAAGAACTTGAGCTTGCTCAGCCACAAAACATTGGTGTCCCTGGGTCAAGTGTTGCTTTAATTGCAATGGGTGCAGCACATTGGAAACAAAAAGAGTTTTCAAACCATGAGAGTGCAACTTCTAAACAAATGCTGCTCAAGCTATTGTTTTGCTGGTGTTATTCATTTCATATTTAATTGGAAGACTTTGTAGTTAAGCTGTTATCAAGTTGCTGCAGAATTTCCAGTTTACTGCACCAGTGGCATAGAAGGTGGCTGTCTTTCATTCATACTCATCTTGCCATGGAATAAAATTGATCTTGATTGTTGGTAATGCGGTTGCCTGGTGTGCTTTGTTCATGATTGTTATAGTCTTCCATTTGAAAGGCAGAAAAATGGAAGTGGAAGTCTGTCTAATACTACATGCCCCATTAATATGCCTTTTAGATGCAAAATGTGGTTTAGTATTCAAAAATTAGGGTGGGAGTGGCAATTTACAATCAAGCTACTTAGTTTGTATTCTTGGAAGAGAAACAAATAGACTTTTGATGTTTACTGCCCTTTTGTGACAGGCCAGTGTCTCAGCCATTTGGTTCTGACAAAGTACCATCCTAACAATGTCTTCTAACCTGTGCGTTAAGCTTCTGTGTTCAGAAAACACTGGCTGTAGCTGTCCTATCTACTACTTCAAATCACTTTGCAGGGTATACAGAGATCTTTAAAAGGGAAAATGCAGTCACAACAGTGTGTAAAGACTTGGTAAGGTAAAAATATGGACATAGAGGAAAGAGAAAAGGGCAGGGGGGAAATACAGTAATAGTTACTCAGGGGGGAGAATTCAACTAAGATGCCGCTTTTCAAATGATAAGTGAAAGGGAAACTACTTTGGCTGATCTTTATACTCTTCCTTTTAGAGGAGTATGACTAATTACAGCATTGTAACTCCTTTGCTCAAGGGAAGGTCAAGCTAAGTATTCCAAAGGCATCCTTGCAACTGAGTGTTAATGATTAAAGTAATTACCCAGTACTCCTTCAAGGGAGGAGTAGGACGATTATAGTGTGTTTGCCATTCACTGTTAATAATGACTTGTAGACCTTGTTAATTTAAAGCACATATACTGCAGAGTAGTAGCCAGATTATGTGAAGCATCTATGAGATTCTTGAAAGTCATTTCTGGATTGGGAGACCCAGGTTAACATTTTCATTGAGAGAAATGTGTTACTCCTTGGCCAGTGGGGGTATGATTGGAAATGAGGGATAATGATAATGAAAGGTCAGGAATCCGGGAGGGATACTGGAGCCAATATTGCAGAGGAAGGTTGTGAAAGCATCTGGTGAGAGCTGAAGTTATTAAGTGAGAACAGACCTCCCATATTATGGGATGTGGAGGAGGGATTGTTACCCGTTTGTAAATGTTGAGCGCAAAAGAGGAGCTAGCTGATGAGGGTCACTTACCATATGGAAAACATGTTTGCCCGCCTAAGAAGTATTGGTATGTAAAAGCCAGTTAGGGAGGAAATATGGAGAAAATGAGTCATTTTCTTACACTTGGTTAAAGCAAAAAAACCAAACCCAACTAAACAAAACCCTCCAAAAACACAAACCAAGGAACTGCCAGTATCACTGAAACATTTCCTTTTGAGAAGGGGCTGGATATTTGCAGAACATGGAGAGCTGGCAAAGATACAAAAAGTGAGGCGATATTAACAATAAGGAAAAGTGAATGAAGTATTTGAGATTGCTGAAAGAAACTGGAGCTGTAAAAAGAAGGTAACGTATTTCATTCTGTGTGAAGTAGATCTGTAACAGAAAAAGAAGTAGAAAATACACCGTTGCAGTGCTGTAAACTAAGTATGGTAGTAAAATTTAGTATTTTATTTGAAGTACTAATAGTCTCGTCCTCTAATAAATGTCATTGGTTGATGCCAATAGCTTATATTGCAGTAGTTCATTGTTTGATGTTTACCATGCTGGACTGATGACAAGTTTTTTCCCCCAAACTTCTGTTATCTTAAAAAACCTTCTTTGTTTTCAGGTTTTCAAAAATCTGGGTACAGATGTGCTTAAATCTGCTTTTGAAGGTTATAATGCTTGTGTTTTTGCATATGGCCAGACTGGATCTGGGAAGTCCTACACCATGATGGGAAATGCGGTATGTGGTATTTTCATAGAATCATAGAATACCAGGTTGGAAGGACCTCAAGGATCATCTGGTCCGACCTTTCTTGGCAAAAGCATGGCTTAGACAAGATGGCCCAGCACTTTGTCCAGCTGAATCCTAGAATCATAGAATAGTTTGGGTTGGAAGGGACCTTCAAAGCTCATGTAGTCCAGCCCCTCTGCAATGAGCAGGGTCATCTTCAACTAGATCAGGTTGCTCATAACCACATCCAGCCTGGCCTTGAGTGTCTCCAGGGATGGCGCATCCACCACCTCTCTGGGCAACCAGTTGAAAAAGGAGCTATTTACCGCCACCCTCTGAGTGCAGCCTGTCACCAGTCCCCCACCCACTGCATGGACCACTTGTCTAAGACTAACATGTCAGTTCCTCTAGGAGGAGGCTGTGGGAAACAGAATCAAAAGCTTTACAGAAATACAGTGTCTACTGCTCACCCCACATCAACTGAGTAGGTGGTTTTTTTCCTTCTGCAGCAATGAATTCAAATTATGCTACTGCAAGAGCATGTTTTTATGGAATTATTACTGATCATGTCTTTATACTACTGACCTTCCGTGTATCATATCTTCTGGTGGTAATCAGAGGTTTTAGGAGCTGTTTCTCTTATAGGTAGATACTTACAGGTGGAAAAGTGTGTTTCAGTGATATTCTGCTATGCGGGACACAAAGCAGTAATTTTTGTTCAGAAACAAACCTGAAAATTACAAATGTGACTACTGATTTTCTATACTTGAAAGCAAAGAAGATACTGATTTTGAGAACACAAATGGTCAGCTCTTTCTGAAGAGATCTGTTTTATAGATCTCTTTTGAAAGGTCAGAAGATTAAAATAGGTCTTTAACCCCAGTTTAGAGAAACCTATCAAGTGAGAAGTAGAAAGAGGATGAGAGTAGCTAAATGTAAGTTTCAGCAAACTGTTATGAGATGATACAGTAACTTCAGTTTTCAGGATTAAGTCCTATTGAGTGCTTCAGTAAAGACCCTGGAAGAGAAAGATGTGATAGGAGGGAGTATTTGACATTTTGTGAGTAAAGCATGGGAGTAGTTTCTTGTAGTTATCTCCATGACTGTCCAAGGACAGAAAGAATCCACTCAACTGCTGGGAGTAGAGCAGTTCAAAAAAGGCTGGCTGATGAAGCCTGTTTGCCAGGCAGCCTCTTTAGGTTTCACTCTCTGATCATGGGGAAAAAATACATCATGTCTTCTTCCAGCAGGATTGAAAAGGGGAATATTGCCACTTGTCCATCCTTAGACAGACCACTCTTTTGCAATGTAGTAAGATTGGCCACTTTGCACCTCCTTTAGCTTAGAAGAGTAAATTAGCTGCAAACCTTTCCCTTTCCATTGTTACAGAATAAGTAGCTTTATACTTAACAGAACAGACTTTTGTAACCAGAAAAGATCTTATGACCTAGCTGTGGATTTCCATTTCAGAAATTTATAAAAGTGACATTTTTATGAGGCTGCCTCATGATATGTAATGACTGTAATCATCAAGGCATTTTCCAAATGAATAGGTGCTGAAGTTTGTTTGACACTATTCAATAATAAAGGTCTAATCTTCTTGCCATGATACATAAATACTTTAATCTGGCTTTGTACAGAATGTGTATAAAATATACTCAGCCACCAAGTTAAATGCTTGAAAATTGATGGCCCTGTCAGAGAGACTACAGTGCTATAAGAAAACTTGCATTTGAAATACATTTTCTTTTTTCCCTACTCCTCCTTGAAAAGTATGAATTCTGTTCTCATTTTGATTTCAATATCTGCTGTTCTTGGCTCTGAAGGCTTCTTCCTTCTTCTGCAGTACTGTGGGCAGCAATAATTTCAAGAAATACGTGGACCAGTTAGAGGAGCTCTTGAGCAGGGATACTGGAATGATCTGAAATCTATAAAATATGATCTATAAGGAAAATCAGATTTGTGTATGCAGAGAAAGGAAGACTGGGGGAACAAAAGTCTTCCAAGACGTGAAAGGTTGCTGCAAAAAAGGAAGGGAATAATTTGTTCCCTATGTCCAAAGTAGATGGATAAGAAAAAGTACATATAAATTGCAATGAAATTTAATCTAAGTATGAAATACATATAAATTTGTAGTTAGATAGCACAGAAGGAAAACGGGCTTTGCATGGGAAAATTCAGCTCTGGAGTGAACTACTTATTTTAGTTTCATGGATTTCCATGGCTTGAAACTCTGTAACCCAGAAAAAAACCATCAAAGATGTAGTTGATCCTGCCCTGGAGCTGTAGGGAGTGAAAAGGGTGAAAATGTTTAAATATAGCTTCTAATAGAGAATGTACATTCTCTAAGATGTACATTTTACTGATAAAATATGCTCGGAACAGTGTGTTCTTCCTTTCTCATCACTGTATTGCTATGGTTGAAGTTACTCAATTAGAGCTAATATTTCCTGTTTTAAGACTCTCTTTGCAGTTGCTAAATTACATCAGACACTAATGACTTGCCTAAAACTTTGTGATGGATCTTTCATTTTTTTTTTCCTTAAGCTTTAATTAAAACTATTCAGGTGTTTCCAAGCATGAGATGAAAGAAAAGTCTTGTTCCTTTTTGTGTGTTTAAAAAAAAAAAACTTAGTAAGATAAAATGTGTGTGGGAATTTCCAACATTGAACCCTGAAACTTTACCTGGAGGTGGAGATTGATATATATTGGGAAGGGCTGCTCCTCTGTTACCAAAGGCAAGTGTCTCAAAAAAAGCCTCATTAAGTTGCAAGTTTCTCCCTTTATCTAGGGGTTATTCTTTTGAAACCGAGGTATGGTCAGGTGAAGGGCTAGGTGTGATAGGAGGAGAGAATAGATTATTTTTTCAAAGGATGAAGTCTGGTTGGGGAAGGCTCTGATTAAGACGAGGAAGAAGCTGGAAAAGGGCAAAATGGAGAGATAGGATATGATTAAAGAAAAAAAAGAGACTGCATGATGAATCAGGAATGATATCTGGGCAAATGAAAGAGGAAGAGGAGCTCAGAAATGACACCTGGAAGAAGACTGCTGGGATAGAGAATGCAGGGGAAACTGAAGAATGAGGACAGAGGGGACCAACATGGGAGCAGACTGCAGCAAGCTTGGGCAAAAAGGGTCAGATTTTATGTGGGGTTCAGAGGAGAGGAGAAATGTTTGCCTGGGGAGTGTGCTGCAGGGCAGTCCATTGTCTTCATGGTTTTCTGCTGCCTGGTATCTGTAGAATCCCACCAGGCAAACTCTTGGGTGCCTTGAGTCTTGGGCTATGCTTATGTTGGATGTTTGGTCTGGTTTGTCCTAATTTGCCTCTTGCTTCATTACAAGGGACTTAACTTTAAGCAAGAACACTTCTTGCCTCAGTGATGCACAGAATTAGTCCATCGCATCAAATCTTACATGGTTTTGAACTAGAGGCAAATCATAGCTGACAGACTGTTTTGTCAGCTACTTCTGAGTTTGCAGCTCTGAGCCCAAATCTCATCTGTATGTATGTGTCCTTTCCCTTCATTCCTGGGAGCCATGTTCACTCATTTCAGCTCTGAAGGAGTGTTGGTTGCTCTGCTCAGCAGGTAGTTGGTCATCTGCCTAATCAGACTGAGTGGGAATGGGGCAGCTGGGAGCAAGCAGCCCCTTGTCAGCCAAGGCCCCAGCTGCATGGCACTTTCCTACTCCTCTCTGCTGCTAGGGAGAACCCTGGCTTTCATTTACTGCCTCGCTGCTTGGCTGGAAAGGAAGAGCTGCATGCTAAGTCTCTGGGTATCTCAGTGGTGGTAGCCGCTGCCTCACAGCCTGACATGTGTTTGACATCAGTGGTGGAACAGCAGCCTCACCGGGATGAGGCTCAATTCTGAAGTGCCAGTTAACCAAGAAGATGTCATTCTGCTGCTGCTGGCTGCTGTGTTAGCTGAAGTGGCAAGAACCCTGTAACGGATAGTCACAGCCCTGCTAGTAAACCACATAGTCCGTGGGGATCTCTGAGAAGGAATATGTTTTTTCAGTTTGCTTTACTAAACCAACCGAGCACTTAATGCATAAAAACTCTTTAACTGCAGAGTTGAGCATTTGTAAGTTAAATATCCAATTTAATTTGGCTGCATTGTGGGATACAGTGAACGTGTAGTTTTAATTTTGTTATTGCATGCTAATTTAACCAGTGGACCTGCTGAATCTTTCAAGACAAGAAGAACTGTGAGCTGGGGATTAGGGCTTTGAATGAGAATGGCTTAAGGGTGCATGTATTTGGCTCTTGTCCCATTTTCTGCAGATGTTGCCAAGCCCACAGTGAAATGAGATAGAAGAAGTTAGAAAAGATAACATTGAGGTAAGGCAGTGCATGTATTGCTCTGAGGAGCTAGTTTCTGCCTTAAACAGTTGGGATTATTTGAACTACATGACAGGGGCAAAATATATCCCAATGGCAAAGAATTTGAGCTAGTACATACATTCCAGCACACACACAAGGATTACAGGGGCAGGGTGACTGCAGTTAAATAAAGGGCAAGAGAGGATTTGCTGAAAGATTTTGATTTCTCCCCCTTTTCTGGATGTTGGAACTCTCTGAACAAGTGATCTTGGGTCTTATTTTTTAAAATATATGTGCATGTATATGTGCATAGCCTTGGAAATAAGAATTGTTGTTATTCCAGGGTGATGCTGGTTTAATACCTCGCATTTGTGAAGGATTATTCAGCAAAATAAGCGAGAAAACAAAGCGGAATGAGGCTTCCTTTCGCACAGAAGTCAGGTAGGTCTTGACATGTTGATAGTTTGCTGGTTATCAAACTTGGTTCAGTTACAGCCACTTTGTTCACTTTATCTCTGAGAAAAACGTGTGTTTTCCAGATAACTTTCTATGCTTGGCCTCAGTCCTGTAATTGATTTTTTGTTGGCAGTCGGTGTCAAAATGCGCAATAGTTCTAACTTCAATCCAGTAGCCGTGCATTTTGCTTTATTTAAATGATAGTGAAGATGCCTTTGTTATTGGTCAGACTGTTCCTTATAACAATAAGGAATAATAATAATACTAACAATCCTTTATTTCAGGCTGCCATTAGGAGATCTTGATCTTGCTAGTGTCTGCTTCATTTCTACTTGCTTCTTGTTGTTTTTGCTTTTTCCCTTATGATACCAGTACACTGTAGTCATTACTGTCTCTGGATCCATTTGCTTCTCCAGGCATCTTGCTTTCAAACACAGCGTTAACATGACTTGTCTTTTTTTAAAGTCTCTTGAATCAGTGTTTTTCTAATCTTTTTCTTTCAGTTATCTGGAAATTTATAATGAACGTGTGAGAGATCTTCTGAGACGGAAGTCATCGAAAACTAACAATTTACGAATACGAGAACATCCAAAAGAAGGGCCCTATGTTGAGGGTAAAAACACTTTCAGTGTTTTGCACTGGATATTTTTATTACCTTTATATATTCTAAAATGTCATGTCTAATTGCACAGGGCATTTTTATATTTTAAAATGTAAATGATGATGGATACAGTGCTTTGATATAGAAGCATTAAAGAATAGTCTCTTATTTGTACCCACACTTGCTTTCCCAATTATAAGTTTATTATGTGTACACAGTTTTTATCTGTAAATTTATAACACATTTTTAAATAATGTTAAGAGATGCAATTGGTTTTAAGAATTTGTTGACTATAATTTATAAATCTTTAATGTTTGCATGGAAGGAACCTATTAAGATCTAATTGTCTTAATCTGTCCTCTACCAGGGAAGGTTTGTCTCTTGAGGGATTATGCTTATGTTATTGCACTAAATACTTTAGTAAGATTGCATGGGCTTTTTTATTAATTTACTGTAAATGTGTAAGTGGTCCATTGTTCACATGAGGCCTCATTCCTTTCCGTAAGTGATAATGAAGTATGACAATAAACCCTAATTACAGCAATACTTTGCAGTAGTGAGGGTGATTGGAATCTTTTTTTGGGAAGAAAGTCATGTGCACATATGAGCATGCTGTAACACTGCTTTTCTTTAGATTTGTCTAAACATTTAGTGCAAAATTATACTGATGTAGAGGAACTTATGGACGCAGGAAATATAAATAGAACGACGGCTGCAACTGGAATGAACGATGTCAGTAGCAGGTCACATGCCATTTTCACAATCAACTTCACTCAGGTAACAAAACAAAAGCGCCTGTCTTGATATGTGTTTAAATTCAGTAATTCACAGGATAATTAAAAAATAAGGTTGTCAAAAAGCAAGTATTCATGAGCATAAATGTGTCTGTGTGTGCTATAACTTGTTGAAAGGTAAATATAATATGTTGAAAGTTTAATAAAATGAATGCAGCCCAAATTCACTGTGCATCATGTAAATACCAATTCACAGTTGGTGTATGTCCATAAGTGGCTAGAAAGTTGCAAATCTTACAATTTATAGAAATAACTACTTGCATGGGGGTTATGCAGCAATTCATGATTAAATGCCTTTCTGTGGCACCTCTCATACACGTGTCTTCTGAAGCTCTGCTATTGTAAACAAGTTAAATTCAGTCACAAGACTAAAAGGCCACTGGGTTGGCTTCAGTAGAATTTCAGAATTTCATAGCTTAACGTACGTGTCTTTGTATTTTTTCCATTCTTTTCTGTAGGCTAAATTTGATTCGGAAATGCCTTGTGAAACTGTTAGCAAGATTCATTTGGTAGATCTTGCTGGAAGTGAGCGAGCAGATGCCACTGGTGCCACAGGGGTTAGGTTAAAGGAAGGAGGGAATATTAACAAATCTCTAGTTACTCTGGGAAATGTAATTTCTGCCTTAGGTAAGTCTCTGCTTTTTGTGCTTGTCTATTTTGGGTTGGTTTTTTTTTGTCATTAAATACCTTTCTGTTTGTTTACTTACACTTCTGTTCATTTTTACTTATACACATAATGGCCTCATGCATCCTGGTTTTGAAAATGAATGAAAATACCTAATTGCTTTTTTTTTCCCCTCCCTCCACATCACAGCTGATTTATCTCAGGATGCAACAAATCCACTTTCAAAGAAGAAACAAGTATTTGTGCCTTACAGGGACTCTGTGTTGACTTGGTTGTTAAAAGATAGCCTAGGAGGAAATTCTAAAACGATAATGATTGCAAGTAAGTGTTTTTAAATTACTTCTTTTTGCATCCTGAAGAGTTCATGCTGAATAGGAGTGGCTGTAAATATTTAGATTCCAGATGCTTTGTTAAGGCAGAGCATTGTTTACACATATTAATGATTTTTTTTCTTTGAGTTTTCTAGTAATACTGTGCTCTTTATGCTCTGCCCAACATCTCTTCCAGCAGTAGAATATATAGGGTCTCACTGTGTATATGGGGACAACCTAGTTGTTTAGTAATGGCATGAACAAGAGCAGGTATGCCTCCTGAGTTTGAGACCTTCATTTTCATCTGCAGATTAGCTGTTTGGGTGCATATATCACTGGCTGAGTATTTGGTCACAAATGTAGCAAGGCACCCAGGTTGTGTATGTAGTAACATTTGGTTGCATAAGTAAGGATCATTCAAATGTATGTGCCTAAGTTCTTGCATTTGCTCTGTCCTCTCTGCCTCATTGCTGTGTTTTTTTGACACATGCACAGTGTAACAGTTAGTTAATCTGACCAGTTAAACTTCAAGTAATAGCTCCTGTTTCCTGTTGAGGTTCATTTACTTTCCAGACAGCTGTGTTATTCATGGTAAATGCTCAAACCTGGACCTAGGTGAAGTCAGGTACTTCCGTTCCTTTATACTTCTCCTCCCCAGGTTGAAGACATTGATACCCTGTAGGAAAAAAAAAGATTCCAGGTTTGTGTACCTAGTCAATAATGATGTGTGAATCAGTTTGCTTTTCCAAAGCTGTGTTTGTTTTTTGTTGCAGTAGTAGCAGAAACAACCTGGTCTCTTTTGACATTCAGTATGCAGGACTGTCATTTTTATTTAACCTACTTTTTGAATGCACACAGCATTTTAGCTTTTTGCTTAAATCATTTATGATCAGTCATCTTTTCATTTTATGATTTTATGACCAGGCAGACTTTTCATACAGTTTCCTTCTTACTTGTAGGAAGCTCTGTAAGGATCACTTGGTTTAAAAACCTACCTATGGCATATGTAGTTCAGGTTTTTCAACAACTTGGAATGGGAATTCCATTCCCGCAAAAAGTGAAGTCAGGGGATGTTTAAGGATTTTGGATGTTGGAGATGTAAGGAGTGAAGAGCAGCTCTGAAATTTCTCGCTCTTTCCTGCTCAGATACAATGCAGTCTAACTGACGCAGTCTCTTGGAAAGGCAGGAGACCAGAATTGAGGGAATAAAATACATTGGATCAAATTCTGGTTCTTAGGTTGCTTTCTTACAGTCAAATTCTCTGCATAGCAGTTCCTTTGTTGCATGATTTTGGGTGTGTTTTTGGAATCCATGCTGCTTTTTTCCTGAGGCTGATCATAGTAGTACCAAAAGAGGATCTTGGACCAGACTCTGCTTCATTTTTCTGGCTGTTTAAGTAACACCGTGCTGGCATCTTTCTTCTTGATGCTTTCTTTCAGTTAATGGTTGAGTAACTTGCCTTTTTTGAGAGAAGGATTGGGAAGAGAAGTTTTAGAGACACAATGAGCTTTCAGTGCTTATACTAACAATTACAAAACCCGGCTGCTTTTTCAGCTACTTCCTCATCTATTAAGGATGCTTTTGCTAGGCAGAGCCCTGATGGTTGATCTTTTCTCCAACAGTAACTCTACTGGTGATGTGGCTGAATTGCCTAACAGAGCCTGACAAGCTGTCTGGACATGTTTGGCCTTCCTTTTCTTTAACTAAACACAACAAAAGCAGGAAGATCATCTCAAACTGTAGGAAAGGCTTTTATGACAAAACAGAATTGGATGTATTTTTATATGTCTATAATGTATTGTAACATCTTTCCAGAAAGAGAATAATTGAGTAGTGGAGTGGAGACAGTAGATAAAGTAGGGAAGTAATAGTGTGAGCTAGGGGAAGTATAGTCTATGGCCAAGTGCATCTCCCCTAATTCAGGGAGTCTCTACCGCAGAAAGAATATTTATTAGTGTTGAGAAAATGAGGAAGGGCAGAATATTTTGGTTACTTACTTTTTCAGGTGTTTTCATTGTCTGATTCTCTGGGTCTCTTGCTCAGTTTGATTATTAGGATTTCTGGTCCAACATAACTTCTGCATGGTGTTCTCTTCTGTGTTTTTTGCTTATCTATGTGGATACAGCAATTATCTTTTTAAACTCCATTGTTTTTCCTGGTTAAGTTGCCTGTAAAAAGAATACTGGTTTCTCTTGAGGCATCAGATAAACTCTGCCAGATGCCTGCAGCTCAGTGGAACAGCGAGGTTTGTAAATTACAGAAGCTCTTCTCTTGTTTTGGTTTGCATGTCTGCTTTTTGTTTGAATGCTGTGCAATTTCCCTTCCAAGCTTGGACTGAATCTGCTGTGGTTTTACCCGAAATGACTTTTCCATTTAATGATTACATACTCACCTTTTTACCCACTGTGCTTGTAAAAAAAAAAATAGCAAGAAAGCCTGTAGAGTATCATATAGGACATTTATACTTAGCAGAGAAATGTAAATGTTAAGTAGATTGACAGCAAGATTTCTCTACAACGCTTGATTGTTGGACCTGATTATTCTAATACACTATTCAAATACGGTGTTTACTTAAGCAGCATTATAGTAAGATGAAAGTAGTGGAGCTAGGTGAAGAACTGGAACAAGTTGTAGCCGTACCAGTTAATCATATATTTCTGTGTCTTCATCTGCATTAAGTTTATCTGACTTTTAAAATATAAACTGACTTTACTAAGTGAAACATACGGTGCTGGATGAACTGTTTCTGATTTCATCTCCTTAGCTATTTCACCCGCTGATGTCAATTATGGAGAAACTTTAAGTACACTTCGCTATGCAAATAGAGCCAAAAACATCATCAACAAGCCTACTATTAATGAGGATCCTAACGTCAAACTGATCCGTGAGCTGAGAGCTGAAATAGCCCGATTAAAAGCCCTGCTTGCTCAAGGGAATCAGGTTAGCTTTGCTTGAAATTTATGTGTAATTTTCTTTGAGTTATAACATCTATTTCTAGAATGTAATGAGATAATTATCTTTCATTATATTGATTTGAGTAAACAAGCTCTATGAGGCTATGAATGAATATTATTTTCCTGATTGAATCAGTTTCCATATGGCCAGTAGACTACCTCTTTTAGCATAAGGGGAAAAATTGTCATCTCAAAGCTCTGAGTTTTCCCTTAATATAATCAGGGCTTGATTGCAGTGTGCTGTAGAACAGGTAGTCACCACAGCATAAGGAAGCTGAGCAGTAACATATTTCCTGGGTCTAGCTGGTGGACTGAAGAGGTACTTTAACTAGTATCTTAAAAGAAGTAGAAAGGTATAAAATATTTAAGATGTGCAAATGTAAAATGCAGGAGTATGCACAGGTTGGAACAACACATTTTATTTGTGTTTGGCTGCACTGTACATCAGAAAGCATGTAACATGCTAAATATGTAAAAGTATTTTCAGTGGTGATGTAAGAAAACATGTGCCGCGCTATAATTCACTCTTGTTCTTCTCTCAATATTAGCTGCTATAAACATCTGCTGCACAAGCTCTGTTAGACTTAATATCTCTTTTTCCAGGATGGTGAAGCCAAGCAAATAATAAGGAGTATGCTATTGGCTCAGGCCAGTCATCGCTTCTAAATAATGTCACTCAGGACTGCTGGATTTCATACTTGAGCAAATATGAGTTGGAAGTATCTGAAATGATCCTTCAGATTTATTTCTAGAACTATCTATTTTTATTTTAGATGGGCTGTACAATGTGAAATGTCAGTTCAGCATAGAATTTTTTAAATAGAAGGGTAGTACTTCAGCTAAATTTCATGCTTTAGAACATTTGCTGAGAAAGAGGATGGGACCACAGTTGGAAGCAGTAATAGGTATGGCAGGTGATTGGAGAGCTCTGCTTTGTTACAAACAATTAGAAAGCTTTATGGAGTTGAATTACTCTTTTATACTGGTGTTTCTCTCATATTCTTTAGGAGGAGAAAATGTAATTTATTTTCAAAATGTGATTTGATTTAGAGTTAGTGAAGTAGATGTGGCTTGGACCCCTTTGAAGATCTAATGCTTTGACCTAGTTCCAGGCTGTAAAACAGTGGATATCACAAAATAAATCTGGTTCAGTTGTAGGATGTGATAGATGGCTGTGTGGGAGGCAATAGAGAACTTGCTTAAGTTAATTGAATTTGTGATGGTTGATAAAACAGCAGGTGGTTTTATGTATGCACAGTAGAATATAAATCTCTGTATAATTTCTTTTGTAGTTTTCCTTTATATTCCCAGAATACTGTTTTGCAAATGCTTCTGTACATCACTGAAGATACTGGTTACCAAAATACATTGCTGGGTTCAGTGTAGGTCACGTAATAATGAGTATTGCTTATGTGTATGTGTTGTATAGCAGTTTTCGTCTTTTAAGGCCAATCGCCTTAATATATAGTTATTAAAGATAAGCAAGATACATATGTGTCATGGCAAAATGGTAAACTATGGATGCATAATAAATGTTCGTGTTCAGCAGAAATATAAAGATAGATGTATGAGGAATTCCCCATTATAAACTTATGCCATGTTTTACTGGTTGCAACTGTGTGACCATGTGCATACATGGGGAATGAAAATAGTACTATCAAACTTATCATTTGTATTTGAAATATCTGCTTTGGCTAGAATTTCATTACTCTGTTTACAGTATTTCAAGGTAAAATGACGTATACTGGAGTTTAAAATACTTCATCCTAAGTAATCAAAGAAGTTGAACAGCTGCATTTCCTTCATTTGATTCCACCAGAAATTGTTACCTTTTCCCTTCATTTTTTTTTTAACTTCATGATGTTTAATTCTTACAATTTTAGATTGCACTCTTGGATTCTCCAACAGCTTTAAGTATGGAAGAAAAGCTTCAGCAGAATGAAGCAAGGGTGAGTTAGAATTTCATAAGTAGGTTTTAAACAACACTCAAACAAACAAAAAAAGGGGGGGGTCTGGATGCCAGACTTGGTAATTTTCAGGATTTTTTTTTTAATACACAAATTTTCTTCCATCAAGTAGCATTTTCTTGGTGCATTTAAATAAAACCACAAAATAACAAAAGAAAACAACAAACTATGTGTGAACTTGTAAATTTGTTATATGACTAATGTATGATAACATTGTAACATCCCTGCCAAGGTTCAAGGCCAGGTTGGATGGGGCTTGGAGCAACCTGGTCTATTGGAAGGTGTCCCTGCCCATGGCAGGGGGGTTGGAACTAAATGATCTTAAGGTTCTTTCCAACACAATCCGTTCTATGATTCTATGATTCTGCCTAAGAACAAAATGTATCTTTGATACTTTCACGCCAGTTCTATTTAATGAAAATATTTGTTCTCAGGCCAGCTTGCCTTACTAAAAGGTACATTTGTAAATAGAGAGGAAAAAGAGGCTAAATCAGAGTAATCAGTACCCAGTAATCACAGTAACAGTTCATTCCATGCGTAGAAAATATAGTAAAACATTTATGGGGAAAATGGTCACTTCTTTTATGTTTTCAAGTAATCAATAACTTGTGTTGTGGGGGAAGGTTTTCAGAAAATTTCAGTCTTTAAATCTGGTCTGTACAAATATGTCGGTGCCTAATTAGCTGTCTTTTTTGGGTCTAAGACCTAGGTGTAGTGTACCTCACACCATATTGTCCTAATAATCCAGCCCAGTGTAATCTGGGGGAAATTCTCAGACAGTTTTGATATAGGGTCCAAAAGACTATAGATGTAATGGTACTCTCATTTATTTAATTTCCAATCTTTCATTCTTTATTCTGTCATTCTATGTTAATTCTTTTCTATATACTTGCTTCTTTTTAGAGCTACTGCAAGCTGTTTTAGAAACATAGTATTACTCAGACTTTGGAAGAAGAAAGGAAAGTATTTGGAATCATTCAGCTACATGGCAGCAAATACTTAGTTCTGAATACTGTCAACAAGATGCCAATCAAGTGTAAATATGACGTCTTTAAAAACCAGGGACTTCTTAGCTGGTTTAAATTGTAAGGTTTACACTGGTGCTGCTTAGACCTTCACAGTTACAGAACGAATGCATAGCTTTGAGAATCCTGTTTTGATCTAAGTAATTGGTACAGGATCTATCTGTGCTCTTCAGGATTCCCATTGATAATACCAATTTCTAAGACATGTTGAAATGCTTTTCAGTGAAATGATACATAAAAAAATGAACTTCATGACAAAAATGGACGAAATACATGTATTAGTGTGAACCATAGCTGTGAAGTGGACTCTGGGCTTCTCCATAAGCCAAGTTTCTGCTAGGGATGCATTTTACAACTCTGTAGTACATGCAGGAATCCTTACTGTGTTGCATTGTATAATTAAGGTAGGACCTGCATAACCTCAGTATGAGGTTATAAATTGTAAGTTATTTTTTTCATAGTCATACTATGGTTTTTAAAGCTTTTTAGCTGAATCAGAGATGAATCATTATATTGTCAGTATATGTTCCTTTTTTTTGGTGCACAGATGAGAAGCTTTTATCTAAGAGTAGCTAAGTAATATACACTGCTGCCTATATGCTAATTAGAGTACGTTATTCATGCTCTGACAGTAATCACTGCTTGTCCTGCTCAGAAGTGTTGGCCCGTCTGCGTGGGGAGTATATCGAGCATATTTTACTATCTCTTGTCAGCCTCATTCGAAGGTTGTGTGATTACTAGTCATGATAATTACAATAGACATAATTACTGAAAGTTCTTAGTAGATGCTGCAGTGGTTACAGCTTTTTTGTAATCGAATGAGTGCAATAATTAATTTGTTTATGCAGATCTAAAGACTTTTATCACCATATTTAAATTATCTGACAAATATATGGTGGCTTTCTTTAATGTGTTGATTTGTCCTTATATAAGAACCACTTTTAAATTGTTTCTGAGGAATAAAAGTTGTTCTGGGATGGTGTAGACTTAGGAGAGACCTTCCTCATGTTTTTCTTTAATCTTTTCGGTATTTTTTTTGTTTTCACATTCCAATTAGCAGCACTGGGAAAGATAACGATGCATTGAAAAGTGTGCTTACTTTTCTCTGTTGAAATCTTGAGATACAGGGAGAGATGAGAGAAGTTTCTTTAGTTCTCATTGATTGATTTACAGCTGATCTGCAAAAGACAACTAGGAGAGTAGGCTGCAGGTGACAAATGTGGAGATGTTTGGAGGAACTGCATTGAAGACCTTTGATTTCTTGTTCTACAGTGGTTTTATATGTAAAGTAATAAAGGGATGTAGCTGTTGGGGTTGGGGTTTTTTTCCAGCTTTTTTGCAGAGGAAGTGAATTCAAATAATAAAAGTTTGTGTATGTTTCTAAAAGTCAATTTAATTCCTGCATAGAAATCTGGTGATTTAAAAAATGAAAGAGTTTGTGGTTGTATATATAGCTATATATTTTGATTTAATGTGATTATTTTTCCAAGTCAGCCAGAGCTTTGAGGTGGATCTGCCTGAAGCACCCTGTATGCATGGTTTTCAAGAAGTCTGAAGGGTTCTGACCTTTACTACTGTGGAAGCTATAAAGTTAACGTATGAGATGGGCACCTGGATGAGCAGGAAGGGCAAGGCAAATCCTAAGCATTCTGTCAGGCTGACCTCGGAGCTAGGGAAGGTTATGGAGCAGATCATCTTGAGTGCCGTCATGTGGCACGTGCAGAACAACCAGGTGATCAAGAAGGCAGGTCCTGCTTGACCAACCTGATCTCATTCTACAACAAGGTGACCTGCATGACTGATGAGGGAAAGGCTGTGGACGTTGTGTATGTGGACTTCAGTAAAGCTTTGGACACTGTGTCCCACAGCATTCTCCTGGAGAAACTAGCTGCTCATCGCCTGGATAGGTGTGTGCTTCCCTGGGTTGAGAGCTGGCTGGATGGCAGAGCCTGAAGAGTGGTGGTGAATGGAGTTAAATCCAGTTGGTGGCTGGTCACAAGTGATGTTCCCCAGGGATTAGTATTGAGGCCAGTTCTGCTTAATATCTTTATCAGTGACCTGGATGAGGGGATCAAGTACCCTCAGTAAATTTGCAGATGACAGTAAGTTGGGTGGGAATGTTGATCTGTTGGAGGATAGGAAGGCTCTGCAGAGGGATCT